ATACATACATTACATTACCTTACCTTACCTTATCTTACCTTACCTTACCTTACCTTGCATAACATCACATAACATAACATAACATAACATAACATAACATACATGCATGCATGCATGCATGCATGCATACATACATACATACATACATACATACATACATACATACATACACACACATATATATACATACATACATACATACATATATATATATAGATAGATAGAGTGTATAGTATATAGTATATAGAATATATAGTATATAGTATGCAGTGTGTAGTATGTAGTATATGGTATATAGTATATCGAGTATAGTTGCTGCATATATATTCCCGCGCCATCTGCGACACCCGGAGCTGCGATGCGGAGCTGACGCCGAGGCCGAGCTGAAGCCGAGCTCGGGGCCCCGGACCCCGGGCTGCTGCTCTGCACGCTGCGCATTTTACATAGACCTTGAAATTAGGGTTTGGGGTTCAGGGTTTAGGGTTTGGGTTTAGGGTTCAGGGTTTATAGGTTTGGGTTTAGGGTTTAGGGTTTGATTGGCAGAGTCTGGGTTCAAAAAGGGTTTAGGGGTGGGGCCCTATCCAAGCAGAAACACCACAGCTCTCTTCGACTCTAAGAATAGAATCCTCGGAGGTCTCCAGCCGCGTACCCCAGGCCCTGATCCGATCCCCCCAATCGCTTACCAGCTTGCCATGACCCACCGCACGCTCCAAATCACGCAAGGGGGAGTATTGCAGAGCCATCCTCTGGGAAACTTGTGAGCCTCACCAGAGGTCTAAGCTACGCGGCGCTGGCACGATGTATGGGCCAGGACTTCCCATGACCGGTTCTGGTGCATGGAGATGTTTCAAGAGCCTTTAGAACGGACACAGAAGACGGCACTTGGGCAATGTCTGCGAAGGCGTGGGTACCTGGACAGCTGTTGGTGGATCCCATGTGTGGTTCCCTCGCACCAGTCGAGGCTTCGTATCCTAGGAGTACGAGGTGCCATGGAGTTTTGCGGTCTTTTCTGGACCTTCCCATGCTAGGTGGCTACTGGCTCCGAGTTTGGGAAGCTCCTGCCATGGCCCTCTCCGTGAAGTCAGTGGAGGAATTCGCCGCTTCTTGCAGATTCTGTGTCATGTAAAGGTTCTGCCTCTGTGGAGACATTTCGGAAGCGGGCATGGCCACCTCAGGCGTGACGGACCTCGTTGCAAAGCCGTTGCAAGGAACCAAAATCTGTTGAGGCTGGAACCGTTCCCTGCTTCCGCAGTCCAGGCCACACGGCCACACATTCAGGGGATGACATTGACATGGGACATGAATCGGGCTACAACTATCTTTTAGCAGTTTTTTCGAGCATGCGCAGCCGCTGTCTCCGAGCTGCGTTTGGCCCTCAAGCAAAGATGTGTAGTAGATCAGCATCTCCTCTCCCGGGCTGATGTCGCGGGGGTCCTGGAAAGACTTCCCGGTGCGAAGAGTCCAGAAAACACAGAACCGAGGACCCGAGAGGGTGGAGGAGCATGGAAGACCTACACCTCCAAACAGGTTCTCGGTTCTCGAGGTGCGCATCGATGCCGTGAGATGCCAAAGCCAACAGCCCCAAAAGCCCACTAAAAGCCGTTAAGCCTGCTTGTGCGAGTGTGCGGGTGAAAAACCAGAAGGGCCCGTGACAAGCAGCTCCTGTTTGATTCAGGTGCCGCGAGCCTCATCGGCATGTTTAGCTCTCCTGAGTCCGGTGACAAGGAGAAGGAGGTCTACGAGGCAGAAGTAAGGGAGGCTTCATGCAACCGTCGCTTCTATGTACTGGTATTATAGTCTTGCCGTTTGCTATTTCACATTCTTCTTTTGTGTTGCATGATACTGTGTCGTACTAAGTTGGACGATATGACGATATTACATGATATGAAATATTCATACGAGTGTTTCGCAATGTGCTTGTCCGTATGGGCCATGGTAATTGGCTATGATTGGCAAGAATTAAGATCCCTCCAAGCTTTGTGCTTCTCCTTGGCTTTCTCTTTCCGAAAGGCAGACCTGAAGGAGGCCGCAGCGCGGCGGTTCTCCGGGATGATGCGCGCGGCCTAGTGCTGCCTATTCTGTGTTCTTCGAAGTCTGCGTGTTTTCACTCTTGCAAAATGGCAGAATGACCGAGTCCCGGGCTAGCGTTGAGTCTTTGGCCTCGTAACAAAGCAACGAGGTGGCCGGCAGAGGGCATCCCTCCACCGGACTTCGTGGTCTCAGTGGACTCGACGCTCGGCGGATAAATTCGAGAGCCACAGGATGCAAATTGTTAAGGCACTGCAGGGCACTGCAAGGCCCTGGAGTGTCTCTCCTGACTCCTGATGGCTAGGAAGACAGACCTGTGACTGGATCTAAACCGGCTGGCAGGAAAGAAAACGCAAAGCTATGAAAACGCTCACACCAGTGAGCTGAAGTGCCAGCGCAATTGCACTTGCATCCCACCCTGTCCCTAATGATTGTGATTACTCTTGGCAATGGAACCCTGCTGCTGCTGCTGCTGCTTCTGCTGCTGCTGCTGCTGCTGCTTCTGCTGCTGTAGTCGTTTGCTGTAAGGGATCCATCCCATCAGCTCGTCTTTTCCGATCCGATCTCATCTGGTCATCTTCAATGAATCTTCAACAACACGCCAATGGTAGTTCATGCAGTAGAACATGTCGAGTTGTCGATTGCCGTTGGCCTTAGTCAAAGAATTCCCAAACTGAGCCCCAGAGTGCACAGAATTTGACAGGGGCCGCAAGTGGCCCGACCTTGCTTTCCGGAGCCATTCTTGGTATGCTTGTGTGCGGGCTGGGTTAGTTTTTTTGGCACTTACACTCGGACTGACGCCTGGGGCCTGGGGAGCCTTGAGATTTCACAGGATTGGTCCGAGCTTTCGCGCCGACCTCTCCGCCCCTTGCTCAGCTTGAGAGCCACAGCCAAGACTCCGCCAAGCTGTGGGCTGGAACAGAGGTCTACGTGCTGCGCCCAGACGAGTACCTGAAGGAGCGCAGAGAAGAAAAACGGCTGCTCTCGGAGCTCTCGCGGCTCTCTTTCCAGGAGGTGCGGGTGCTGGGCCCGCGGCGCGCCACGGCCGAGGAAGCGCGGAAAGATGGCTGTCGCTTGGTGGAAACAGGGTCGGCGATACTGTACTATCTTCCTTCGGTTCAGCACCGAAGTCGCTTGGCCCTCCTTGGGAACGCCAGCAATTGCAGCGCCCTTGGAAAATGCAGCCGAGGTGACTTGAAGCGTCTCGCATTTAGGATCGTCGAGAAGCGCTTTAGTCTCCAGGAGGCCGGTACGCATCAGCGCATCAGATGATGGGGCCCGTGTGCCGCTTCGTGTTGCCCAGATATGGAGACGGTGCTACTTCCTGGAAAGCAAGCAGTGGAGTGTCCAGGACCATGAGAAGGTTGAGAAGCTCAAGTTCCACCGCGGTTTTCCACGTGTGTCTGCGAGGAGCTGGCAGGGGAGGACATCCTGGAGACGTCCGAGAGCCTTGTGCCAGAGTTTATTGCGGCCCAACAGTCGAAGAAAGAGACCTTCGAGTCCACTGCCGAGTGGTTTCAGGCAAACAACAAGAGGCCGGGGTCCTCGCGCCAAACAAGTCTACACTTTCGCCTTGCGCCAACAGGAGAGACTATGAGGAGAACTTCGCCCCCGTCGGTCCCTCCTGGGCTGCAGTACAGGCAGGGCCCAGAGGGTTTATAGTACATTGAGAGCTTAGGGCTCCGTCTTAAAAAAAGCTGTGTTACCGTCGTGGGCAGGCTCAGACGCCGGTGCCTCGCCAGCCGGGCATTTGGTACATGCAGCTGACCTGCAAAGCGGAAGATTTCGTGTGCCGGCATAGCCAGAACGAGCCGAAGTCTCCAACAGGCACGAACGCCAGAACTCGGAGGGCAAACATGCCGGCGTCCCAGAACTGTCGCTGACGCTCGCATCGCTGTGACAAGGATTGTGCCCTTCAGACATAGTTGTCTCGTTGCATGCTCGAGAGCTGTGAGGTTCCATTCCTTTTCTTCAATGCGTTTACCGGACGCTTGGCTTGAAGTGCTCTTTGCTCGCTTTCATCGTTTGTAGAACTCCAACTTATTACATCTCGCAATGTAGATGTTGTATACAACACACATGAAAGCAAGCATGCATGCAGTCATACAGGTGCAGGTACGCGCACATGCGTGCATGCATGTATACATGCAGCGCTCACAGAGGGCGGTACCGAGGCATCACTATAGGCACCCTCCCCGACCCTTGCCAGGATAACGGTGCCATTCGCTTTGATGTTTTGTGCTTTCCTGTAAGTCCCGTCTCTTGACGTTCCTCATGTTTGGCATGCATACTGCACGGATCTTCTGGTATGTCTTTCGCTCATTGTCAGGTTCGTGAGAGAGCCGCATGGGCTTCGGCGCGGGTGTTGTGCGAGTAAGTCATACTGAAGACTCTTCTGTCTGTTGATTCAAGTTTCTGTACGTGTGAACACACCAGACATACGATACATAGAAAACATGCAGTCTGTACAGAACACTTCATCATGCACTGTACGTTACAATACAGTGCCTTATATGGGTGGACCTCGTAGCATCATACATGGTATGTCGGTACGTTGCATATGAGCAAATTGACACACATGCAAGACATGAGAGCAACCACATGCACCCCCATTTGCAGGAATACACAGGATACACAGGTAGACAGACAAACATAGGTGTGCGTTGCATGAGCCGTCGCGAGAATCAGCTGCGTCAGGTAAGTACTACCGGAACCGCTCGACGGAGGTCACCTACGTGCCAGCCAAGAGCCGATGGATTCAGACGGGCATCCCGCACTCATCCGAGGCCCTTATGGGCATGTAGAGGAGGGTTTTCTTTTCGTTGACGCATTGAGGACTTTCTGTGGTTCTTTGGGTCTTCTCCCACGGTCCCTAAAGTGAGGGATCTGCGACATTGCGCCAAGGAGCATCCCATGAAGATGGCTCACGGATCCGTGTGCCTGCCCACTTCGAGTGGGCGCAAGGACGATATGGCGGTCATTCTGCCTGAACTGTCTCGCACAGCCTCGCTGCTGAAGCAGTGTCTCGGAGCAATCTCGGCCAACATCCGCTTCAGTAGCGAAACTCGCAGTTTCTGCTGCCCCAGGCCGCTGCCTTTCATGGACAAGCCTGCAGCCCTCTTCCTTCTGGTTGATGGACTACGGCAGTCGAACCTTGCGGCAGAGTGGTGTGCGAGGAGGCTTCACACGCATCTGCTGCCGCGCCTCTCAGCAACTCGGCCCCTGAAACTGCCTTTTGCTCTCGGCAGAAGACAGCCTGCCGTCTGCGAACCTGCTCCTTTCTGCCCAAGACATGGCTCCAAGCAACATGCGACATGTTGAGTTTCTCTCTGACCCCAGTTGTTTTGCTCTTGAATCAGGATGCAACGTTCAATTCGTTGTGCTGTCGGGGCAGAAGATATCCCGCTCTTCCAAACCTCGCAACGTTTGTATCGAAACGGCTAGTTTCGGCCTTTTCTTTGGACAGGTGTGGTCACGGTTTCGGGAAAAAGTCTTTCGTGTCAGGCATGCCATTCAGAACCCGAAGACAGCGAGCTGGTTGCCCTGGTGAAAGAGGCCTCAAAGGGCAGGGCACTGCCAGGAACAGCGGGGCTGGCTTCGTGACACGAGCACTGTCGTGTAGGGAAGGGGTGTGAGTGTGCTGAGCCAATTGTGAGAGGCCTTGGAGCACCTGGACCACGCACTCCTGGAATCAGGGCTGCAGCTCGCAGAGTCTTTCGCGGTTGCTGCCATGTGCCCAAAGAAAACCCAGGCCAAGCCTCCCCAAAAAGGCAACCAGACCGAACACCCCCAAACCTCATCCCTGAACCCCTAAACCCGAAGCGATTATTTCCAGAACCGGATGAAAATCTGAAAAGCACCTTTTTGGGGTGTTCTTGCTTTTTGGCCTCCGTCTCTTGACCTCTCAGGAGAGTCCTGCTCGGTACGCCGGGTGCTGCTTGGCTTTGGCCTTGCTTTTAGGCAGGCGGCTGATCATTTGCAGCATGGGCCAGGGCCCCACCAGAGTCGGGGGAGGCGATGATGGTTACTATAGTGCAATAATACTAGTACTAATGCCAATACTGTGCAAATACTACGTCACACTTCTTGATACACTCTCGTCCTCCTACTTTGCAGAGTATCTCTATGGTGGTGCTAATAAATAAGTCCAGTACAACCTGTTGGTCCCGAATCTGTTTCCTTCATATCCAATCGGGGCCCGAGACCGCAAAGTCCCGCGAGCGGCTTGGGATGAGCATTCCCTTGCGAGAATTGCGATGATGACAATGTCTGGTGAACAGATGATCGTCATTGTGATTATTGATGCGGTTCTGGCTGTCATGCCATCTTCCGCACGCCGGAGCCCCGCCAGGGGCATGTGCAGTGCCAAAAAATTATTGGGCCTCATGCTGTTGGAATCCGGTGTCCGGGATTCTCGGTTGCTCCGGTCAGCTTTAAGTCATGCGGTTAGTAGGTAGGACTCCTGAGTGCTTGATTCTTCTTGGCTGCGGTTGGCTTTGCTGCGCCATAGGGTCGGTGTACTGGCTTCTTGTTTGCTCCCGTTCGCTGTGTCTCATGCTGTTGGACTCCTGTGTAGGTTCTCGGTTGCTCCGATTGCCGTGTCTGCCGTACTGCTATGTCTCATGCAGTCTCTCCTGCACGCAGTCTTTAGCCGGCTGCTTCTTATGAGGTCGCATTCCGGTGTTGCTGACAAGGTGGCTGCCGTGCAGTGGTCTGCTCACCTCCGGCTCCACCGGAGGAGCCGGTGGCCAAGAAAGGCGTGGCTACTCGCAGCACGTGGAGCTGCCGCGCTGTGGAAGGCGGTGTTGGGGAGCTTGCCGATGTCAAGGTTTCTTGCCCTTGCCGCCACATCAGGTGGCCTGCCTGGCCACACGAAATTAGAAGTTACGGCGTGCCTGGGCTTGAATTTGATGATTGTAGAAGAAGAGGGGTGAAAGGGCCCCTCGTGCCAACTCTGTTGTCGAGGTCCCAGCGACGCCGGAGAGCTGAGGCAGGTTCAGGGGTTTCTCAAGCTATGTCAAGCTTCCATTTCAGAGTATCCCTCTAACAGCGGCTCAAGCGACATTGCCCACGCCTTGACACACCTCCGAAATCCACGCCCTGCATCTTCCAGCCCGAACTTTGCCCCTCAACCTTCTGGCTCATGACCAAAGGCCTACGGCCCCCTCGATTTCGAGGGGCGACCGGGAGATGAGTTGCAGGCAGCCTCGGCGAGCCAGGTCGGGAGTGGCTTTTCATGCGCTTGCGTGCTTGCCTTGACCTGAAGGGTCTTGTAACTGGCAGGAGATGCTGGCAAAGGAGCCTTCCGATAGAGACCGAGCCGTGCGAAGGGCGCGGTGCCAAAGCGTTCTTGGCAGCCGAGTGTTCAGCTCGGTGCCTGGAGGCCCTGCGTGCTGCCCATCCCTATGCGGCTCTGGGCCTCAGCTTGGCAGAGGCTGTTGCTGCCGGCGCCGGGAAAAAAGCCGTGGAGGCAAAGCCTTGGACTGTTGGCTACAGGCATGTCGTGGTTAGAGTGTCGTGTGAGACAGGCCTTTGAAACGCTGCTGGGGCCTGGCAAGGGCGATCTGAAGACAGAATCTGCCCGAAGTCGCGTGAAGGCAGCACGAGATCGCACACTCAGCCCTAAGCGGGACTCGGCGACGTGCTGTATCTCGACTGAGGCAGCTGGGGAGGCGATAGACAGGATGCTGGCGCAGGACATCTTCGGCGCGCAGCAGCTACTCGCCTATATTCGCCCTACGAAATCCACTAAAGTGACTAAAGCCCTGCAAAAGCTTCCACGCCTCTTCCAGATCGGATTTTTTTCCCGTTGAGGCTGGCAGAGCTTTTCTACATCATGGACGAGGAGGGTGGCATCGTCAGCCAGCAGCGCGCCGCCGCGCTGCTGGCGCTGGCGCCCGGGTGCGGCGAGGCCCAAAAGGGAGGGGAAGGGTAGGATTTGTAGCCTTCAGACTATAGTGGATGTGTGCAAAAATATCGTGACAAGAGCGCTGGGCTTTAACGCCTAATCCCTGCAGCCAACTTAAACAGCTGCCAGTTCCAGATTGCACCCGACATCTCCAGGCTCCGAACTATCGAATGCATTCCTCCCGGTGAGAAATCCACAAGTATTTGCCATGGAGCCTTCGTGGCACGGGCAGCGACTGGAGGAGGGCTGGTTATCCCAACGCACAGCACGCTTCAGAGTCATCCTGGCAGAACCACCCGATAAAGGAACAGCTCGTTCAGGGCTTGGGGTTGCCAACGATGTCGCTTCCTGCTGGAGTCCTGGAGAGAATTGCCACTGAAGAACACAATCCTTCCTTGAGGACAGGTGACCCGAACTCTCAGCCCGAAGCTCTAAGCCACAAACCCGAAAAGCCCAATAAGCCGCGATGAAGCTTCAAAAGCCCTAAAATCCCCTAAGCCCTCCCTTGTGCAAAGCACTGAAGCCACTGCCCAGGCCGTGGCGAACGGGGCGGTGCAAGTGCGCTACCAGGCCGTGCTCAGTGGCCTGGCCGCCTTCTGCCCGCAAGACGCCTCGCGAGGAGCGGGGCTTCAAACAAAGAGCGGAGAGGTGTTATACATAATAACATACACACACATGTATATATATATATACACACATACAAATATGTAGGCGTATATATATATATACACATTTACCGACATGCTGTCACATACTTATATGTATGTATGTCTTCTTCCGGAAGGCTCAAGGTCGAAGCGACGTGCCTATTGCAAGGTATGAATTCAGAAAGCAGTATGCGCTCATGTGCAACTGAAAGACATCGAGAGAGATGGACCCAGCGCCGGAAAAGCTGTCTCTGTCGAACTTCTTTCAGAAAAACAAACGTGCAAGTGACCACAGACAGCAGTTTTCGACTGGCTTCCGGGTTTCAACCAAAGCGCTAACAGCGTTCTACTAAGTGCAGCGGAACCCGTAGAAACCGGCAACTACACACACATTCAAAGTCCTGAGCCTATCCCTCCAAGGGCCGGGGGAGGCAAACTACAAGACTGCACCCCGCATGGCTGTTTTAAAATAAGCCATGCCCGCTCCAACATACGTGCCGTGTACAGTGACTGCGTATATACAGACTCGCATGCTGAGCAATCAGTAAACACGCACAATCAGATCGAATGAGGAGCTGCAGTGATTGCCGCTCGCATCTCATCTCCGGTAGCGCAACCGATTGTAGGCAAAGTGGCAAGGTTCATGACTTCCACATTGCACTGGCAAACAGTCACAGGCAACCACCAGCCGTCCAGAGGCCAAGGAGGCCAACTTGATGTGTCCTACAAACCTCCAGTCCGGGCGGCACATAAACTCCAGTTGCACAAGTCCATGCAGCTCCCACCTGGCTGCATCGTGTAGTCGCATCCGGCGAGCAGAG